TAAAAGACAGGAAACAAAGGGTAGGAATAAATGGTAAGTTTTCCAAGTGGTGACAGGTAACTAGTGTCCCTCAAGGGTATGTCCTGGGACCCATCCTATTCAACTTATTTATAAATTATCTAGAGAAAGGGGTAAACAGTGAGGTGGCAAAATTTGCAGATAATACCAACCTGCTCAAGATAGTTAAGACCAAAGCAGACTGTGAAGAGCATCAAAAAGTTCTCACCAAAATAAGTAATTGGGCAACAAAATGGCAAATGAAATGTAATGTTGATAAGTGTAAAGTAATGCACATTGGAAAAAATAATCTCAACTATATATACAATATGATGGGGAATGACTTGGCCACAAGGACTCAAGAGAAAGATTTTGGAGTTATTGTAGATAGTTCTCTGAAAATATCCACTCAGTGTGCAGCGGCAGTCAAAAAAGCAAATAGAATGTTAGGAGTCATATAAAAGGGATAGAGAATAAGAGATAAAACCATGGTACGCCCACATATTGAATACTGCGTACAGTTGTGGTCGCCTCATCTCAAAAAAGATATTTTGGCATTGGAAAAAGTTACGAAAAGGGCAACAAAAATGATTAGGGATTTGGAATGGGTCCCATATGAAGAGAGATTAAAAAGACTCAGACTTTTCAGCTTAGAAAAGAGGAAATTAAGGGGGAATATGATAAAGGTCTATAAAATCATGACTGGTATGGAAAAAGTGAATAAAGAAAAGTTATGTATTTATTCCCACAATGAAAGAGCTAGGGGTCACCAAATGAAATTAATAGGCAGCAGGTTTAAAACAAACTAAAGGAAGTTTTTCTTCACTCAGTGCACAGTCAACCTGTGGAACTCCTTAACAGAGGACATGGTGAAGGCTAGAACTTTAACAGGGTTCAAAAAAGAGCTAGATAGAGTCATGGAGGTTAGGACCATCAATGGCTATTAGCCAAGATGAGTAAGAATGGTGTCCCTAGCCTCTGTTTCTCTGGAGGTGGGTGACTGGGGAGGGATCACATGTGGATTACCTGTTGTGATCCCTCCCTCTGGGGCATCTGGCATTGGCCACTGTTTTCAGACAGGATACTGGGCTAGATGGACCTTTGGTCTGACCCAGTATGGCAGTTCTTATGTTCTTATGGTTATATAGCCAGTTATGCAGCCACCTTACAGTACCCCATCTGAGTTGTATTTGCCTAGTTTATTGATAAGAAGGTAATGTGAGACTATATCAAATGCCTTACTAAAGTCCAGGTATACCACATCCACCACTTCTCCCTTATCCACAAGACTTGTTATCTTATCAAAGAAAGCTATCAGATTGGTTTGACATGATTTGTTCTTTACAAATCCATGCTGGCTGTTACCTATTACCTTATTTTCTTCCAGAAGTTTGTAGATGAATTCCTTAATTACCTGCTCCATCATCTTTCCTTGCACATAAGTTTTCTTCTATTTAAATGGTGATATGAATACTTACCAAATTCATAGGTGAGTTCTGAGCATTGATTCATTAATGTTTGAAAAGCATTTTGAGCTTCTCAGATGAAAAATACCATAGTATTAGTATTAGTCCATTCTAGTTTATTGAAATGCATACCAAATAGCTGAAAACCCCTCTCCAATTCACTTTAGTGTGTACCCAATTTATGTGATAAGTGCTCTCTAGTGTTTGAAGTATGCACACGTAACTGGAGTGAGTAACATGCACAACTGCTCTGGGGCCAGGGTTACTGAGCAGTGACCTGCCATTGTGGCAGCAGTGCAATAGTGTTGCAGAATTTGTAGAGAAGAAAATGAGGCTTTCATACTTCTTGTTACTATTTATTTTATCCAAAGTGCTGTAACATAGTAAAGTGCTTTACAGGCCAATATTTTCAAAAGAGACTAGTGATTTGGGATGTCTTGAGTTTTTGAGTGCCCAAACAGAGATACCTTGCAAGAGTGATTGATTTTCAGACACCACTGAGTATCCATGCAGTCAAAATCCAGCTTCTTTTGATGTTTCAAGTTAAGCACCTAGAAATTGAGGCACATATCACTGGTCACTTTTGAAAATCTGGGATAAATATAAGGACACAAAATTCATGCTCTGCCAACCATGCAGTCTAAGGCCCAGGTGATTCAAACACATATGCAATTTTACTTCTGCAACTATTCACTGTAGTAAAACTAAAACATGTGAATTAGTGTTTGCAGCTTGGAAGAATAAGGGTATGATCCTGCAAAACTATATTCGTGTGAATAATTTTATGCACATGAATAGTTTAATTGAACTAAATAAGACTTCTGAGTAAAGTTATTCAGATAAGTAAGGGTTTCTAATGGCGCTGGAAATGTACAGTCAGAGAGATGAAGGTAGGAAAGTAACAAAAGATATACATAATGCATTATTTGACTTAGCATACACTGTGTAGTTTCATAGGGAATTGTCTATCTTTTATATGTATTTGTATATTTAAATATATCTTATGCTTGCGAAAAGATGTTTTATTAGTTAGGATTATAAAGTCCTATGGGTACCAGTCTTTCATTGTAGGCAATCCTTATAAAATTAGTAAGTGCAATCAACATAAACAAAAGAAAATTAACAGACACCACAAAGTTTAGCAAAAAGCCCCAAACCTCAAATAAACAGCAAAACACAGATAAAATAAAAATTCAGCATCACCCCTACCGAGTGATAAGTTTTTTCCATATACAAAGAGCAGTCATATTCTTTCAGGTTAACTAAACAAGAAAACACAAACTAAAGACACTAAAACACTTCAGAAAATGGAAATTGGTTTCTAAAGATGCCTAGACATTAAATAGGCAGAACATAGAAGGCACAATAATAACAGCAACCCAATTGCTTGTGCCACAGTTAGCAGTGAATCTCAGGCTGAAATAAGTGATTTTTTTAGGAAGGACTCAAGGATGGAGAATGAGATGGCATTTGGTATAGAGAAAGAAGGAAGATGTTTTAAGAACCGGTATAGAGATTTGAATGGCAGGGCATAGAATTCCTCCAGGGATGATCAAGGCCCAGAGATGGGGAATAATACAGTTTTACTACATATATTTTAAAATTTTTCTTTTGCTAACCTTATAACCAGAATAAAAAACTCTGTTTTAGCTCAGTAACATAACATCATATTTTAAATCTATGGGGAAAATGGCAAAACTCCCTTTTGACTTCAATGTAGCCAAGATTTCATCCTCAGATTTACCCAACAGGCAAGAAGTGTGCTGGAGAAAAACTGAGATGTAAGGTTTAAAGCTCCATCTAATGGCCAAATTTAGAACGACATACAGATACTAAAGTCCAACGCACCGTGATTTGTATATTGCTTAATTATGGACCATAAATAGATCAGAAACTGGCTTCCTGTCCGGCACAATCGCTCTCCATTAAATGTTGCATTTTCTGACCATTTCCCGTGCAAAGAATGGGGACTAAAGCCCCCTGTTCAACAGTCACCAGCTGCAATGCTGCTGGCGATCCCCCAGTGACTCATCCTGGTTCTACTTGATTGGGAGAGAGTGCGAAATGAATTTCTTGCACGCTTGACGTTATCAATTGTTAACGTTGTTGTTATGCACCGGATCGTCTATGGGCGCCACATTCTTATGGGGGGGAAGCAGGTGAGGAGTTCACCTCTTCGTTGGTGTTTCTCCTCCAGGGGAAAAAGCTTATAGAATTGTTCTCTTGGTCCCGTTTGCTTTGGTTTCCTTTTGCTTTGTGCGTGGGCTCCAGAACTGGGCTAGTGATGGGAATATTAGCGGTTACATTCTTATCATTTCCCTCCTCTGCAACACCTACCTGCTGGTCAAACCTAACGGGGGTAGGAAGATTGGAGGTGCTGATAAACTCTAGGTGATCCCGGCTGGGAGGCTGATGAACTGTAGAGTTGACCCTTGCTTTGCAGATTTTTTTATTACTCAATTCCGGATGTTTTGCATACTCTGCCTTCTGCGCCTGGGCTTGACTAGTCTCTGGAACAAAAGGTGAATCGTTGTAAAGGTGGGTACTAACCGAGGTAACATTAGGTCACATCCTCCTCGGTCACGGCTGACAGGTCATTTTTCGCCTCTTCTGCAGTATCTTGAGCCGCTTGGTACTGAATAGGAAGAGCTGGGGAAGCGGTACTTTTATTTGTAGATAATCCAAGCACGATGCACAGAATCTCCTTTTCTTTCGCCCGTGTGCGATGCAAGTTTTTAAACGTGAGCTTTAATAAGGAAGTTTAAAAATGAGCACGGGGAGGTGTTTTAGTGTCCGAAACTAAAGGGAGCTTTCTTCAGATGTAATGTTGTGCTATGTTGTGCTTAGTAGCAACATATTTAAACTGGAAACAATCGGGACATTAGCTTTCTTTTTGAAAGGGAAATGGAAAAGGGGCATCATGTCCCTTCCAAACAGCGGATTGGTTCTAACCGAGAATTTGAGCTTCCAGGCGTAAATCAGGGCACTGTGATCTTTAATCACATCTGTTCTTTCTTTCTTTCTTTCTTTCTTTCTTTCTTTCTTTCTTTCTTTCTTTCTTATCGTGTATAAATGACTTCTGCCTTTGATCACAAACGCTATCGCTAGGGTGGCCGTCATTTATGTATGATTGAATGATATTTGATTTATTCAGTGATCTGTCCCCCTATCCCAACTCTAAAACGTTTTGAAGGTGTCCCGCAAAGGCTGAAAACCGTCTTTCTTGGTTTTCCGCTTCAGCTTCAGTACTGAAATTGTCACTGCGGATCCCACGTTGCATAGGTTTGCACCGGTACAGAAGCCTCAGACTATGTTTACACGTGAACGCACATTTCTGCCCTGCTAGGCATAGGAAAGGCTGGAGTCCAACGAAGAGAAGGATGCCTGGGTAAAGCTTTTAAGGAAGAGAGCGGGGGGAGGAGAAAACAACACCCTAGGGTGTCCCCTGTGAAATGATGTCATCCAATCAATACTTCGGGGGGCGGGGGAGTTGTGACTGATCTAACTCCTTCTATGAAATAGTCTCTATATTGGAATTGGAATTAGCGTATCGATTGGGCTGATAACAGAGACCTATAAAAAGGCAGGGGGATTGGCTTGGCATTTACTACATCCCTGAAGCATTTCGCTCAAAAAGCACCCAGCCACTGCCTATTTGAGTGGCACTTGCGCCTCCGTGTGCGCGTGGCGGTGTGTGTGTGTTTGCCTGGAGTCATCTTGCCATTTAAATAACCTGGGAAACATGTGGAGGAGCCTGTGCAAATCTCACACGTCTCTGGCTCTGCTGGGACTCTGCTTTGCGGTGGTCGTGAGATCTCTGCCTTTCTCGGATGCAGGGCCACATGTGAACTATGGCTGGGGGGAGCCTATTCGATTAAGGCACCTATACACCGCCAGCAGACACGGGCTGTTCAATTACTTCCTGAGGATCAGCAGTGATGGCAAAGTGGATGGCACCAGCATTCAGAGTCCTCACAGTAAGTACAGCGGACAGCTGCGCGCTTGCTGATGGACAGGCTCTGGGCTAAAGGCATGGAGCTCCGCTCCGTGGCTTCACTTAGCGAGGTTAGGAGGATGCACTGCGAATAGGCGAGCGTGCGCTTCAGTGCCTGACAGCTAGGGCTCTCGTGGGAAGGGAGCAGGAAGCGTTTCCCCTCGGATTACCTGGGAAACGGAGCCCGGAGCGACGGTGGGGGGAACGCGGGTGCTTACGGCTTGCAAAAGGCGAGGCGCCCCCCTCCCCGCTTGAGTTAACGCTGTCCCTCCCGCTTGAGTTAACGCTGTCCCCCGTCCCCCCGCTTGAGTTAACGCTGTGTTTGATTTTACTGCATAGGTCTGCTGGAAATCAGGGCTGTGGCAGTTCGCACGGTGGCGATCAAGGGCGTCCACAGTTCCCGGTACCTCTGCATGGAAGAAGACGGGAAGCTGCATGGACTTGTAAGTTATAGGCGACTGAACTGGGTCCCGTCCCCTCCCTCCCTCTCCGGGCACTGACTCAGCATGGGAAAGCCAATATGCAAATGGGGGGAAGGTTTGCATGCCCTCGCGGGGCTGGTGATGCTTTTTCAGAAGGCTTGAGCCGACCGCATCTTTGTTCTCCCATCAGACAGCATATTCAGGGTCTGACTTCCGCGCCCGAGAAAGGACATCAAAATGTATAATGAGGCAGGGTATGGATGTGTCTCTCGGCAAAGTACATACATAGATACATACTGCACGTTTATTCTAAGCTCTCCCTGAGAGAAAATAATGTGCAGGATGAAATGGTTCGGTTCTTTGATTAAAATGTCGACAGAACTATGAGATGTTTCCTTTTTCTCCTTAGTCACTAATTACTTTTTGTCACTAGTTGTGTCTAATGAAACTGTAACGTTTATTAGTGGAAATGTAAGCGTTTAGTGTCAAATGAAAAAATCCACTTTCCAAAATTTCGAATGCAACTAAAAATAAGGAGGACATCTAACATTTTCATTCTTTATTGCATCTTTCCCTTAACAATTTTCTATCTGGCTAGGTCTACACTGTGCTTCTTGCACAATAAGCCTTTTGTGCAAGAGTTTTTGCCCAAAAAATTCTTGCGCAAGAGCACGTCCACACCTCAAAGCACATCGCAAAAGCAATCTGCTTTTGCGCAAGAGAGCGTCCACACTACATGGACGCTCTTGCGTAAGAAAGCTCTGATGGCCATTCACAGAATGGCCATCAGAGCACCTGTACTTTTTCCCATAGGGGTTTCTTGCACAAGAACCCCCTCTGGAATGTCCATACTTGCCTTTTTGTGCAAGAACTCTCATGCAAAAGGGAGCTATGCCCCATAAAAGGAGGTTTACCTATGGCCCTCTGTTCTGTCATTTTACTCTTGATTTCCTTGCACAAAAGTGCATTTGAGGTGTGGACACTCCATGGTTTTTTTGCGCAAAAGCCTTGCAGTGTAGACGTAGTCTCTATGTTTGGTTAAAACAGAAAATAGGACCAAATAATGTTTACTATACACAGCTTATTTGATATGTGGAACTGGCAATTAAATGATACGGGTATATTTGTAATTATTTTCTTGCTATTCAGTGTAGGTATTCCGCAGAAGATTGTTCTTTCGAAGAAGGGATACGCCCAGATGGCTACCATACATATAGATCAAAGAAATATGGGGTTGCTATCTCTTTAAGTCATGCCAAACAGAAACAAGAATTCAAAGGAAAGGACTCTCTCCCACTCTCTCACTTCTTACTGGTGATCAACAAATCACCTGTAGGCTCATGGGAACCTAAGGACTATAGCAATTCTCTGACATGGTGTTAACACGTGCTTTTTTTGCCTAGCTATTCCAGCATATCTGATAGTTATATCAGAAATACAGTCCTGCTCTCATGAGACACCTGCAATACCTACTCAAAGGCATGATCAAAAGTTTCAGTGGGGTAGCTGTGTTAGTTTGTCACTGGAAAAACTTCAAAAACCACAAATAGTCTTGCAGCACCATAGAGACTAACGAAAAATGTAGATGGTATCATGAGCTTTCATGGGCACAACCCACTTCTTCAGATGTGCCCATGAAAGCTCATGATACCATCTACATTTTTTGTTAGTCTCTAAGGTGCTGCTAGACTATTTGTTGTTCTTTACATTTTTCAAAGGCATGAGTTAAGGAGAAAGGTCTAATTCATTGCCATGTAACTCCATTGAAGCTTCCTGAGTTGCATAGGTGGAAGGTGTGTTTTCCCCAGAGTGCCAGATAAGGCTCTATTTTACCTTTCTTAGCGAAACTCCTGCTGATTTCAACAGGAGAGGTGGGCCCAATAGCAAAATGTCCATTTGCTGGAGAGCAGGATCAGGCCCAGTTGAATTTTCATTTGAATATCTAGGACAGAATTTGCCTTTCAAGTCTGAATCTTCTTGCTTTTATTGTCTAAAGTCAGACCCTCAATAAATTGAAAAAGTGAGGGAGGTAATCTGGTTTTAGGCTTAGACACCCATGAAAGGAAAGTGCCAGTTTGAAGTTTTTATTGTATGTCCAATCTGAAATACTCATAGATTGATAACTATAGATTGGATATTGCTTCCACTGAAGTCAGTGGGAGATTTCTCATTGATTTCCCTGGAAGCAGGCTCTTAATAGTTGTACTGTGCATTATTTTAATAATCTTGGATGAAGAGGGAGAGAACCTCCCTTAATTTGTGACTGTTGAACTATAGCAATAATTCATTATGTGAATTAATATTCTGAATAGATACGTGTTTAACAGTTATTAGCATACAGCCATGCAGACACCTTTATATGTACTGAGTCGAATCTTGTATGTCTTCTTACTCTATGAGAAGTCCCATTGACTTCAGCATTAATCCATACAAGTGAGGTGAGCAAAATTTGGCCCACAGAGAAAATGTGTCTCTAGAGTTGCATGCACTATCCTTTCCCTGCTTCCACTCTGTTCCATATGCCTTGTGTGTATGTGTATATTAAGGGATAGAGGAGGAAGTCAAGTACTACTGGCCTATGCTAACAGCTAATTATGATACCCCTACAGTGGCTAAAATGTGCTGTCTGCTTCTCACACACTCGCTTTGGAGTGACACAGGGAAACAAGTGATGCACAATATTTGCTGACTCCTGCACCTTGACCCACTACCCTAGTAGTTTGTTCAGGGCTCAATGGGAAATTTGTTCTCTTCACCTTCCTCATTTTTATTAGTATCTTACTCTGAAGATAATTCCATTGAAGGGAATGGAGAAATGTACTACTCAGTAAGGATTGGGAGGTAGTGTGGTGGGAAGGTACAATGACTGGGAGGTAAATAAGTAGGATCTAACACATTACTCCATCAGCAATTTCATTAACTTCAGTGAGACTTTCTGTGTGAATAATCTGGCCACCTGTAGAAGTAAAGTGTTTCACAATCTGGCCCTAGAATACATTCATTCAAAACAAATAATGTCCAAATTAATAAATATTGCAAATCTCAATCAGTGAGGAATAGCAATTTTTTTTGTTTTGCTTTTTCCCTTTAACATAAAAAGTACTTTTAAAAGGTGACGCTAGCATACACTCCATTGTTGATGGTATTTGACAAAGCTAGATTTTTTTTTTACAACTGAAAAAGAAAGTCAAATGTGCTTGAGGTTATATTTTGACAGTCAGAGAGTTCATTTGAGAACACTCTTTTTTTTTAATCAAAGACCTAGACATAGCCAGCAATTTTCCTCATTGGCCCAGAGTTCATTCACCTTAAATGACTGAACCAGAAATAGCACCAGAATAATTACTTAAAAGATCTGGAAAAGTCTGGGATGATAACATAGAATCTCAATGTACTATATCTATGTTATAAACAATGTCTAAGATGAATTCTACGAATTGCTAGGGAGGTTATAAAATATATTATCCTATATAGAATCTTTATTGCTGTCTCAGTAGAACTGTTTGATAAGTTTAATGCCTGATGACAAAGAGACACTGTTCTAATACATTTTTAGACAAGTTAATAAAATGATTAGGAGAAAACACTTGGTTTGCCCTTTTTATTGTTTTTTATTTATTAATTTTCTTTAGTTTAATACAGCCTATTATAAAATAAATTTCTTTCTGCAGTTCTGATCCTTGCAGACCTTACATAGGAAAATCTCCTTTGGGATTCATATTGAGTTTTATATGCAATAGACTGCTGGATTGATGGGTTCCTTAGCTATCTTGTGGTTATAATTAAAACATCAGCATTCATCCACACTTATTAAATGGAGGTCCCTACCAGAGGTTACCACAGTTTTCCCTAAAGTCAGAATGGAGCAGTCTAGAGCAGCTGTGTGGTAATACATGGAATAAAGACCATTGAGGATAATGGAATTACTCCCAGTGACTTCAAAGGGGTGTGAAATCTGGCCTTTTGTGACTCCTACTGCCTTTTTAAATGACTGTTTGAATTGTTAGATTGTTAGAATTCTATGAATATTATGGAGAGCATTAATCACTCTCTCATCAAGGAGAGTAATAGGATCAAGCACATAAAAGATTTATATCATATCTGATAAGTATCATATAAGATTTGATCTGAGGAAGTGGGTCTGGCCCACAAAAGCTCATCATCTAATAAACCATCTTGTTAGTCTTTAAAGTGCTACATAGTCCTGTATTTTGTTTCATATACATACCAGTAATTGTCTTCACTCCTTACTGTTCAGCTCAGGTATTCTACAGAAGATTGCTCCTTTGAAGAGGAGATACGCCCAGATGGCTACAATGTATATAAATCAAAGAAATATGGAATCTCTGTGTCCTTAAGTAGTGCCAAACAAAGACAACAATTCAAAGGAAAAGACTTTCTTCCATTGTCTCACTTCTTGCCTATGATCAATACAGTACCTGTGGAGTCAATGGATTTTGGAGAATATGGTGATTATAGTCATACTTTTGAATCAGATCTATTCTCTTCACCTCTCGAAACTGACAGCATGGATCCCTTTGGAATCACCTCTAAAATATCTCCAGTGAAGAGCCCCAGCTTTCAGAAATAACTAATGCTCCTGTCTTTAAATATGATTTTGAAGAAATATTGCCAGGACCAAGATATTATTTGGCTTTTACAGTAGTAATATGTAGAATATGTAAATATTTAAGGTACGGTGCTAGTATTATTCTTGCAATATACTAAACTTGTAAGATATTAACACCTTTCTAAGGCTACACTCTAAAAAGCACCTATTTATGTTTTCATATCACATTTAGAAAAAATAATCTAAACAACAACTGCTTAACTGGTTCACCTCTGATAAAAATACACAACGTGCAGAAATTCCTTCTGTTTGGTGATGGCTGGGGTGATAAGATCACTAACATTTTTCTTCACCACTTTTTTTCTACTTATGCAAATGCAGCAAAAGATTTATATTCACAGGGAGGTTAATGACCTCTTCGTAGCCTTTCAAAGACAAATATTTGAAATAAAACATGATTGCAAAATCTAACAAACATTATCCTGTGAACTAAGGTTAAATCTGTCTCTTCAAAAAAACTGCTGCTGATGCTCTGGGACAACTTTCCATTTTAAACATTACAGTGAAAAACAATGCATAATGTAAAAGAAGAATTTTCTTCTCTTTTTTGATTATTAAATCTAAGGGCTCAGGATGGAAAACTGGATCTTTGATTCTTAATGGGCTCACCTGTGTTTGTTGGTAAATTCTTTGGGACCTGTATTATCCTTGTCCTGAGATAGAATTCCCACTAACATTAATGATAATTCTATTTATGGACTGAAAATTGTACAGAATCCATAATTATGTTCATCTGGTAGGGAACAAGAAGTAGAAACAGATTAACGTTCAGGTCATAAAAGTCCTGTGATATGTAAATATTCATAGCAATTGAAGGAAGAGACAGAAAATAAATGTTGTATAGGTCAAATTACTTTAAAATATGCTTTTATATTTTTCCTTAAAGCATCAGCAGACCTTTCAAGACACAAAGGGGCTGATCCTTCATCCATTGACTTTAACGTTTCAGAATTTTGATATGCAGTGAAGTGATTCTTGATGGTATATGATCCATAATGTATATATGATGTTTTCAATCCTGTTCTCCTATGTTAGCATTCCACCAAGAGAATAACAAATGGAATGTGAAATAACGAGTCCAGGAAAATTATCCTTTTCCAAGACTTCATTTATAATAGGTATTTCTATACAGAAAACTGTACTGGAAATGTTAGTATTTTCTTGACCTAGCACTTCATTACCAATGCAATATTTATAATTAATTTATTTGAAAACCTACATCTGTTTATTTTGTTACTGTTATTTATACTCAAAATTCTATTTATGTACTCATGAAGGTTTTTTTAGTTTTCACAAATTTTGTGAAGTTTTGTAATCATGAAATTACAATGAAAATAAAATTTGTTAATTTTCTGTGATTATGTCAGTAGTTTAGTGTATAAATTTGTAATAAAAATAATCCTCTCCAGCATAAAATCTGACTTTGCTTTAATAATTATGTGACATTTCCTCAGACTTAAAAGAGCTTTATAGACATTATTAAGTTCCATTATGCTTTTGGAAGGCAGGTAAGTGTTGTTATCCCCATTTTGTAAATGGGGAAACTGAGGCAGAGAAAAACAAAGAAACTTCACTCAACTCATGCAGTTAGTGACAGCTAAAAATAGAATATATACAAGCAGGACTTACAGTACATCTACACTGTGGACTAAAGTCAAGTTAAAATACGCAGCTTCAGCTAGGTTAATAGCGTAGCTGAAGTCAAAGTACGTTAACTCGGCTTTTGGTCTACACAGCAGGAAGTCAAAGGAAGAACACTCTTCCTTCAACTTCCCTTACTCTTTGTGAAATGAGGGTTACAGAAGTCAGCATAACATGCCCGTTATTTCAAAAATCATTTCAAAATAATGGGCTTGCTGTGTGGACACGCACTCTGTTATTTTAAAATAACATGAGTTACTTCTAAATAAGCATTCAGTGTAGACATAGCCTTCTTAGAGTATAGTTTTCAGGATATCAACAGTCTTTCTGTGGCAAATTAAACACAATCTGATTAGCACTGCTTATGGAAACCAGGCAGGCCAGATACAATTTTAAAGCAAGGAGGGGAGAGGCTGTACTTGTTGTGGAAAACGTCCAGAAGATGATTCACTAAATGTCTGAACTTAGAGTATAGTGAGCTCTCATCCATCTACATCATTCCCATTGACTTCAGCGGCTAGGCCCCAAAATCTGGTTCTTTGACATAACTTAATGAAGCTCTAGTTTAAACTCTGCTTTTCCTTTTATGAGAAAAAGAAAGAAAAATGCCCATGATCATGGATTCAGGACAGTTAATAAAGCTCTGCCCGGGTTAATTTTGCAGTAATGTCCTTCAAACATTTCTAAATTATTGAAAAGTGTGCAGTAGTTTTTCAGAAATAATTTAGGGACTTATGTACACTGGTAATTTACCGTTCTTCCAGCAGCCACATACTGGAGCATTTGTCTTACTGGAAATTCCAAGTTTAAACAAGCAAAGCTGGTAAAAGCTGTGATTTGCACCATTTGGTTTAAAACAGGGATAAACTGCAAAGATAAAAATAGCAGGTATGCACAAAAGAGTTGAATAGCTGCCTTGATGGCTGATCACTGATGACTGTAATTAGGCAAAACTCCCAGCATAGAAAGGTGATTCCAGTTTGAGTGCATTATTGTACCTGAACCTTAAGAGACATGAAATAAAGTGAATAAAATGTGTAGTGATTTTCATCCAAAGACCTCCAAACCATTCTACAAACTTTACAAGCAGATTTATCTATTAACAAATAAAGATCACTTAATCCACTTGTGAAATGCAGTCACCTCTGGAGAGGAGTGTTCTGTCTTTTAGGAAAAAAACCTATAACATTAACCAGCAGAAAACGCGGGGGAGGGCATTGGAGAAATGTTTAATTTTTCAGCAAGAAATTAAAAACTGAACATTTCTTTTGGAAAAGCTGCCACAGTGACTCATGGGAATTGTAGTTCAGATTCCTCAGGTCCCTTCTCTCCTCTATGAACTGGGATTCTGGAGTGGATTAGTACTCCATGGTGCATCATGGTCTCCTCTCTTGTTGTGAGTCCTCAGGCCATCGTGCATCATAGGAGATATTATCCAGTTTTACCTGCTTAATTTAGCACAAAACTTTTTGGGTTTTGGGTGTTCAGATTCTCAACAAAAAGTCAACATTTTCTGAGGAAAGAAGACACTTCACAAAAAATGGTTTAGTCAAAAACCTAATTTTCCATCAAAAAATATTTTGATGGAAAAATTTTGACCAGCCCTACACAACAGTTTGGGACAGGTGTTATAGCTTCTAGAAAGGTGATGTTAATTGTCAAGAAACATAATGACTCTTCAGAGAGTGGTTTAAAAAAATGGATCATAGAGCACATTTAATATGAGAAAAGAGCTCATGAGCTACACTGTGAATAAAAGAAGGTCTGATTAGGACCATACCTTTAAGAATAAATATATAGGTGATAGGGTCAGATAGCTAAATCCTTGGCTGCCAGAAGTGAGGACACAAACACTTGAGATGTGCCTGCATTAGATACACTATTTAATTAAAACTGGGATTTCAAGTAAATAGAATGTAACTATGCATCATGTTTGTCTAGAGCACAGAGGTTAATATCCTTACATTTTTAAAAGTATCCTGAGATTACTGACCCGTGTACTGACAGCTTTGATATTACATCTCAGACCACCAGTACAACATCTCTAATTGTAATGGCATGGTAAGGTACTGGGTCAACGTTTACTCAGAGAGAAAAATCCCAAGAACTGATTTACCAACACCGTTTCCTGTAGCACTTACGTTTCCATTGGAGGTTTCCCATCCAAGAATTGTCTAGACTTGAATGCTTGCAGCCTAAGGTGGAATGGTTCCAGGAAAATATTTTTCTTACTATTAGACATCTGATTAGATCAGGAACTTAGTATACAAAACATCTAAACAGTATTGTACTGAGATGATTTTTAGGAATAATTTAGTTGGGTGTTGGACTCAATGGTCTCCTCACGTCTCTTCCAACCCTATGATTCTATAAACAACACAATCATCATAAATTACACAGTATAAACCAATGGGTAACCATAATTTGCTAAATGCTGTAAATTGTTGGCACTCTCTCTTTAGATTTTTAATTACATTTTACAGCCTTAAAACGTTTTAAAGGATCGGTGCCTGATGTCTGAGTGTGAATTTCCAGTTACAAGCTACAATCATTGTTCAAACTATGAATAGACAGTAAAAGTGGAGATGGCGGACGTTTCTGTCTGGTGTCCTTGGAAAGCATGGAGGATTATGAATAATTCCTTTCAAGCAAATACCATAATACTAGAGTGATGGATGTTTGGGTACGTTTACACTGCCATGCTTATTTTGAAATAAGCTATTTCAGAAAAAATACTCCAAAATAGCTTATTTCGAAATAGCATGTGTACACTAGAGAGAATCCTCAAAATTAGTCCGAGGCAGGCTCTCCTAATGTATGGATGTGCTACCTTGATTTAGAGCCCCAGGAGGCACTAGGGAGTAATGACTTTGAATGGCCCTGGGGAGGAGCTATTTCGAAATAGCAGCAGTGGAACATCCATACCACTGCTATTCTAAAATAGCTCTTTCAGAATAGGTGTTATTCCCCATGGAATGAAATTTACAGAAGTTGGAATAAGCCATCCACTATTTTGAATTTTTTTCAAAATAACGGAATTGCTGTGTAGACACTCGCATTGTTATTTTGCAATAATGGCTGTTATTCCTAAATAACGTTGCTGTGTAGACACGCTCTTTGAGATAGAAGTACCAAGACCACATATTTGCCAAGTCTTTTGAGATACTGTATAGTTTGCCATAAGTGCTCTGTGCATCTAAGGAAGAGGCATTGTGGGAAGGTCTAAATCAATTTTTTCATCAAAAATGCTTTCACTGTGGGCAATTGCAGGCCTGATGAAAACAAATGCACTTCCCTTTAAGTCAACATGAGTGTAAAGTCAATAGGAGTTGCACTTATTTCCATTCAGAATACATTTTATCTTTTGTGTATGTTTTTTTTTAACCCCATCAGATGGGGACCTCTCCTTGAATCTAAGGAATAGTGTGCTAAATCTGATAATAATGTATAGTCTTAAAGTGTACAGAAACTATTCCAAAATTTTGGTGTATAGGACACATATAATTACTCCTGAAATCAGAGGAAATGTTGTCACTTTACTTCCAGGCGAGAAAAATTAAGCCAAGACTAGAATGATTTAAATTAATTACATAGACTGAGATTTTCAAAGATGCCTAAGATTTCTGGATCTTAAATTCCATTTGGGAACAGAGCACCCAAATTCCT